TGCAATAAGAAAACCCATTCAAGTTCTAGAAAATATTAGTAAACATATTGTTTCTTTAAAAAAAATAATTAAAATGCTTTAAATCTTGAATAAAAATTAATAAATTTTGAAATCGATAACTTATATCTTAGGAGTAATTAAGTAATTAAATTATCTAACTTTTCAACAGTGATAATGGATAATGTTCATCTACCCTGAAAAAATATCTAGCTATATATATTGTTACGCACTGCCTTTTACTGTGTGAAATTAATCTCACATTTAAAGTTATTGGTTCGTTCAAACAGTGCCAAACAAAAGGACGATACCATAGAGAAATACAATAGCAAAAATACGACAATCTAAACAGTAGCTAATTACAATTAATAAGATTTATTTAAGTATGAATATAATTACTGAACAAAAGACATATAATTACAATCATCAATTTACAGAGTATGAGATGTCTTGTACCGGTACACAGTTAGTACAATGTGCCAATTAAATAAAGTACATTGATGAATGCGAATGAACACCTATGAGTACACAAAGAATAATACACTTGTCTCGTGAAGTTAAAAAGATCTATCTGAATCTCTCTCCGTCTCTGTTATTGCTCTCTTTGCTTTTATATTCGGCTCTACCGAAAAATCTAGGCGTATTCAGGATTGAACTAGTAACTAGAAAGTTCCACAATTGACTATAATTTTCGAAAGCCTTCAAGTTTACAAGAAATCGGCAATAGATCAAAGAGATTAAACCACGCCCACTACGGACGCAGCCTAATTTTGGGGTGAACCACAGTTCAATGCACGGGGGAAGTGTGACGTAAACACGTCCTACATAAGATCTGTACATATATAATGTATGTATGTACGTATGTACGTATGTATGTATGTATGTATGTATGTATGTATGTATGTATGTATGTATGTATGTATGTATGTATGTATGTATGTATGTATGTATGTATGTATGTATGTATGTATGTATGTATGTATGTATGTATGTATGTATGTATGTATGTATGTATGTATGTATGTATGTATGTATGCATGCATGCATGTATGTATGTATGTATGTATGTATGTATGTATGTATGTATGTATGTATGCATGCATGTATGTATGTATGTATGTATGTATGCATGTATGTATGTATGTATGTATGTATGTATGTATGTATGCATGTATGTATGTATGTATGTATCTGTACATATATAATGTATGTATGTACGTATGTATGTATGTATTGCGATAAAACTTTGTCGAGTTGTTGTCCACAACCCGCGCATTTTGCTGAGTCATTACAACACTTTTAAAATTTTCCCTTTTGGGCCGTTGGCCCTAAATTCTTTGTTTTCTAATATGAGCTATGTACAAATAATTTCCGTATGCGCTCCTATAGCATTCATCCGATTGAGATAAAACTTTGATGATATAACTTATGCGCACGCCCACAAAGGTTTCTAAATTATTAAAACCATTAAAATATATTCCATTTTGAGGCAATGTCCCTACATTCTTTTTTTCTAAAATTATCTAAATAAATATAAAACTTATGCGCTCCTATACTGAAATATCACATTAAGAAATGGCGTCAGCGGCCATCGAGCTAGTGCTCTTTATGCCCTACCCAACGCACCCCTCTCCCCCCGCCAAGCCCGATTTCAGGCCGCGAAGAGACACGTTGGATATGTCTCGTTGCCAGGACAACCCCCATCTGAGTCCGCTCGATCGGGTTCCGCTGGACAACCAAAGACAACCGGCAGGTTGGCACCGTGTTTGCACACAGTGCACATGATCGACTTTCTCAGGAGTCGGGATGGTCAATTTACGCCCTAATATCTGATTCTGAGCCCACCCATCCCCGTTTAGCGTTGAACGGCAACTTGTAATCATGATCCCTACCCTGTCTCTGCCTTTACTTCCAATTGTGAAGCGTCACAGCTGGCAGCCCTGTAGGTGCTATTTTATTTACGGCAGGTACCGAGCACTTCCCTTGTCTGCCCACGCTTGACGCGCCCAGTAGTTTGGTCACAGAGTGTCACCAAAGTTTTATCGCAATCGGATGAATGGTATAACAGTTGGCTATCTTTGGAGGCATCCTGAGGAGGTACAGTCGGCTATCTGTGGAGGCGTCGAGTGGAGGTGCAGTCGGCTATCTGTGGAGGCATCGGGTGGAGGTACAGTCGGCTATCTGTGGAGGCGTCGAGTGGAAGTGAGGTCGGCTATCTGTGGAGGCGTCGAGTGGAGGTGCAGTCGGCTATCTGTGGAGGCATCGTGTGGAGGTACAGTCGGCTATCTGTGGAGGCGTCGAGTGGAGGTGCAGTTGGCTATCTGTGGAGGCGTCTTGTGGAGGTACAGTCGGCTATCTTTGGAGGCATCGTATGGAGGTGCAGTCGGCTATCTGTGGAGGCATCGTGTGGAGGTACAGTCGGCTATCTGTGGAGGCGTCAAGTGGAGGTACTGTTGGCTATCTGTGGAGGCTTCGAGTTGAGGTACAGTTAGCTATCTGTGGAGGCGTCGAGTGGAGGTACTGTTGGCTATCTGTGGATGCTTCGAGTGGAGGTACAGTCGGCTATCTGTGGAGGCGTCGAGTGGAGGTGCAGTCGGCTATCTGTCGAGTGGAGGTACAGTTGGCTATCCGTGGAGGCTTCGAGTGGAGGTACAGTAGGCTATTTGTGGAGGCGTCGTTTGGAGGTACAGTTGGCTATCTGTGGAGGCGTCGAGTGGAGGTACAGTCGGCTATATGTGGAGGCGTCGTGTGGAGGTACAGTCGACTAACTGTGGAGGCATCGTGTGGAGGTACAGTCGACTAACTGTGGAGGCATCGTGTGGAGGTACAGTAGGCTATCTGTGGAGGCGTCATGTGGAGGTACATTTGGCTATCTGTGGAGGCGTCGAGTGGAGGCACAGTCGGCTATCTGTGGAGGCGTCGAGTGGAGGTACAGTCGGCTATCTGTGGAGGCGTCGGTTGGAGGTACAGTAGGCTATCTGTGGAGGCGAGTGGAGACGTCGATTGGAGGTACAGTAGGATATCTGTGGAGGCGTCGTGTGGAGGTACAGTGGGCTATCTGTGGAGGCGTCGAGTGGAGGTACAGTCGCCATCTGTGGAGGCGTCTTGTGGAGGTACAGTCGGCCATCTGTGGAGGCGTCGAGGTGAGGTACAGTTGGCTATCTGTGGAGGCTTCCAGTGGAGGTACAGTCGGCTATCTGTGGAGGCGTCGAGTGGAGGTACAGTCGGCTATCTGTGGAGGCGACGAGTGGAGGTACAGTTGGCTATCTGTGGAGGCATCGTGTGGAGGTACAGTTGGCTATCTGTGGAGGCGTCGAGTGGAGGTACAGTCGGCTATCTGTGGAGGCGTCGTGTGGAGGTACAGTCGGCTAACTGTGGTGGCGTCGTGTGGAGGTACAGTAGGCTATCTGTTGAGGCGTCGTGTGGAGGTACAGTTGGCTATCTGTGGAGGCGTCGAGCGGAGGTACAGTTGGCTATCTGTGGAGGCGTTGAGTGGAGGTACAGTTGGCTATCTGTGGAGGCATCGTGTGGAGGTACAGTTGGCTATCTGTTTAGGCGTCGAGTGGATGCAATGTTGGCTATCTTTGGAGGCGTCGTGTGGAGGTACAGTTGGCTTTCAATGGAGGCGTCGTGTGGAGGTACAGTTTTGTTATCGCCTTCAATGTGTGAGGTTGATGTTACGGACCCTAAGAGCGGCCTTTTAACACAGTCGCCTCTCCTGTCGCCGTGACCTTTCCTCTGGTCCTGAAATAGGACAGCCAGCTACTGTAAGCTTCAATGTCGATCGTTCGAAAGGCCATCTGACCAATGAACTAATGTTATTGTTGGGCCATATTCTGGCTACTTGGAATGCCACCAAGAATTTTTTTTTTCCTGGTCTCCGAATGTTCAGGATTTCCTTTCCTTGGTTAATTTTCATTTTCTGAAACCTAAATGCTCTGTCCCCCCCCCCCTCCCCCACGTTATACTCTTATGGGCATAGTTTAAACAAAATATCTAGTTCTTACAGCTTGTGATTAGTGGGCACGTGGTTTATTCAAACTTCCGAATTGACGTCATGCTATGCCGTCATCTATGGGTATTTCCGCGATAAAAAAAAGATCTGTCCTACTGTTTCATTGCTCAATAAGCGAAATATTTATCTAGTTATCTGTCTAACAAGGCGATGCCTTTTATTTAATAAATCACAACTAAGAGATCTTACACTGCACGCAGCCCCAAATCAATGACACGAAACTCCGCTTAAGCGATCTATTGATCATTTCATTTACCTAAATGGACCAACGCCTTGCAGGTGATTAAATAGCAAGGGTCCTCTAACTACCAGCTAGTGGGTGAGATTAGGCCCCCGCCAGGTGTCCTTTGATAGTGACAAGCAGTAACAGAAATGAAACCAGAGAGTGGTCATCTCATCAGCCTTACTTCCCTTTTAAATACGATCAAGTTTGTTTTGGGTGGGCTTTTTTTTTTATTCCTTTTTAAATCTTATTTTTATCTATTCCCCCCCCCCCCCTTTTCCTGCCCCCACTACAACAAAAATGTCGATTGTGCAGAGAATTCGTCTATATTACTGTTTCCAGGCTATCCTCCGAGCTCCAAGCCTGTATGACGAAAGATATCAAATTAAAACGTTTGAGAACCCCCGTCTATATAGTCTTCAGAGTAGTGTAGATAAGAACTTAGATAACAATGAAAATGCATCAGCCTCTCGACTATTTATAGAGCTGACGACACAAATGTTAACAGTTGGGAAGGGGTGGGTTGCGATATAGTATCGTTGGGGGAAGAAGTCCTGCAGGACCAAATTTCCGTCGATCAAATTTCCGTCGATCAATTTACCTTCGACGAAATTTCTTTCGATCAAATTTCCTGTAACCCATTTTGGTCACGACACTTCCGGATATTACCGTTACGTTGTTTTGGAAATACCCGCGTAACGCGAGTGAAGAAAAATTAAACTGCGACGGGAATTCCCCGTAACTGTTTTTGGTTTTGCCCATACTGCAGATACTCTGAAACGTTTTCCAAAGTTTCTACTTTGTGATAACGAAAGTCTAACAGTAACGAGAAGGTTGAGAGTGTTTCAAAATATATAAAAATCATTGCAAGTAAGTGTAAACTTATTTTGTTTTAACACATAAAATCTTGAAAATAAATTTTACAAAAAGGTATCTGCTTTCTAAGATAAATAATTATAGCAGACATGCCCAACACTGCAAAGACCATTCAATAAATGTCCAAAACAATTTAATTGTATATATGTATTTAAAATATATTTTACCATGTCCGAAAACGCATCGAAATCGACATACTGATCAAATGTTTAGTCGAAACTTTCATAGATCCTGAAAAAATTAAACCTAATTTAAAAATTGTTCCACACAATCCAAAAGTTCCTTCTATTGAGCTTTGAGTTTTTCTTTATTGTTGTCGGTGTTACGTATCGTCTTGTTAGCTGAACACTATGAGCAAAATTTAAATTGTAGCCACGTTCTTGAGGGTTAATTCGAAATGATCATAGGTAAGAGGAATGAAAAGGAACTAGAACTCGAAAATTTGTTACATAATCTTTATTCCATGGGTTTGGATATTTCAACAAAATCGAATTAAGCTCGTTTTCTAATGCGGACAGTTCATAATTTTTTAATCTCGATTGTTTGCAAAGTAGCTTAGCGTACATTTAAGAAAAAAAATACATTCTGTTAAATTCATCATTCAGAAATCGTCTGAATTCTTAAATTTCAGGAATCGTAAAGTGTGTTTACTTGCCCCAGTTAAAGTGCAGTAACTAAAAGAAGCATCATGCAAAAGTCAGAGGACAGCAAGAGTTGCGTAGATCTGCTTCTGCTCGGCAAAACAGGAAACGGTAAAAGTGCCCTGGGGAACACAATCCTGCGACGGAAAGCTTTCAAAAGTTGTGGCTCCACGACGTCCATTACTCAAACAACGAGCTATGAGGTAAGCCAGTTAGGAGGTCGCAGCATCAAAGTGGTCGACGGGCCTGGCATTGGAGACACTCGATTAGACACCAAACTGGCGGTGGCCGAAGTGATCAGCGAGATCACAAAAGCCATCGCCGGAAACCCAGCAGGTTACCACGCATTCCTCATTGTCCTGAAGGTGACCAAGAGATTCACTAGAGAAGAGCAGGACGCCTTGGCGTTCCTCAAAGAGATCTTCGGGGAAAACTTTGTCTCGGACTTCTGTATCATTGTGATGACGTGTGGAGACGTCTTTGAGAAAGAGAGAAAATTCACCGGTCTCTCTTTTAAAGAATGGTGCGCTGATCAGCGAGGCCCATTCAGGGACCTGATGGACGAGTGTCAAGACAGGATCGCTTTGATTGATAATTTTGTTCAAGACAAATGCCGCAGAGAGAAGCAGTTGAACAATCTCCTGAACATTGTGGACAAGCTGAGCGCAGGTGGAAACAGGTACAGGGACATAAACTTTTCTATGGCCGAAGAAGCTCGAAGGCGAATCATGAGAGAGACAAAAGTTGTTTCGATTCGTGAGACTGCGATGAGAGAGTTGAGTCTAATCTTACAAAAGTTTCAGAGTAGCGAAGACTGTGAGGAGGATGCGACCCGACTCAAGGTGATGGACGCAGCTTACCGACGGGCAGAGAACCTGTGCACAAGTTTAAAAGTCACGGATCCCGGAGATGGAGATGTTCATGATCTTTACAAAATGATCTCATGTGTAAAAACAGTCATCTGGGATCAAATGCAATTTAACGCCCGATCGCTAGAGGACAGCAAGATAACTTTGGCGGGAGAGAAAGAAACATTGGCAGGACGATATGAAACTTATAAGGATGACAATGATATGGTCATAAGGTTGAAGAGAAGAGAGACAAAGGGAGAAAAGGGAAAACACGAAGAGAAGTTGTCGAGAGAAGCGGAGCTAGACAACCACAAGAAGATTACTGCAGTCCTGGAGACAAAATACCGTGAACTGAAGGAGAAACACGACGAGGGCGTCTTGACCCAGATCATCAGTGGCGTCAGCTGGAGTTTCAGATCCATCGTGGCTCGTTTCGCTTAGCCAGAACTCGTAATCTTAGACATGGAGCTTATGGAGCTTTAAGCTCCTACTAAGCAAGTTGTTTTAACATTTTTTATTTTAATTAAGCTATAAAAATTTTTATTTCTAAATTACGATATAGAAATTTTGATTGTAAAACAATAGAAATAGACTTGAACATTTACAAGTTTTAAAGGGGGGTTTTATTATATAAATATATAGATTTTTTTTGTGAGTTATATTCTGATGATAATATCTCTGGATCAAGGCAAGCTGAAATTAGATAAGTGTAATGTGAGAACCACTGCGTTCGGTTTGAAGAAATAAGTAATATAGAAAGAAGGGTAAGGAACAGCGTAAGGAAAGGTTGAAAGGTTCTCAGCGGAAACATCCTCTGTTTCGTTTGGTCTTTCTTCATTTAACGAAAATTTGAAGAAAATTGGATCGTCTGAACTGAGCAGCATAAGTTCAATGGGGCGATACCATCACCCTAAAGCTTTACGTGGAAATCTATAATTTTTAATATGTCTTTGTGGTGTTTGGCATTTTTGATAACTTTGTCTAGATAAGACAAAATTCTTTAACTTGTAAAATATTTGAATGAATACTGATCTGCAGTATTGATAATTTTCTATCGTAAATTTATGAATAAAGTTTAAAATAAGTAAATAAATGTATAATTTTGTCATCGTGTCATTTTAATGGGTTGAATGTGTGTGTGTGTGTGTGTTTGTGTTTGAGAGTAAAAAACAGTTTCAAATTCCCATGACAATATGTTGTCCTGAATCGGACGCGTTTTCCCCATTTCATGTCTTTGTGCCAATTGATTAGGCTTATATGGGTTAATAGCTACCTGACGACATAAAAATCTCAGTTTTATCGGGGCTCAATGTGTCAGACGTTTATCTGCTTTCAATTTTAAAACTTATGAATAGAATCACCAAAGTTACACAGTTTCACAATGCTCACCTTTCAAGGTAACGACAAGCATTCTTGCTCTCGGTCTTCATAGCCTAGCGAATTGAAGGCTTCAAAGTATGAAATCCTGCTGTGGTGGCATGAAATCATTCTGTGGTGGCATGAAATCATGCTGTGGTGGCATGAAATCATGCTGTGATGGCATGAAATTATGCTGTGGTGGCATGAAATCATACTGTGGTGGCATAAAATCATGCTGTGGTGGCATGAAATCATACTGTGGTGGCATGAAATCATGCTGTGGTGGCATGAAATCATGCTGTGGTGGCATGAAATCATGCTGTGGTGGCATGAAATCATACTGTGGTGGCATGAAATCATACTGTGGTGGCATGAAATCATACTGTGGTGGCATGAAATCATACTGTGGTGGCATGAAATCATGCTACATGAAATCATGCTGTGGTGGCATGAAATCATGCTGTGGTGGCATGAAATCATGCTGTGGTGGCATGAAATCATGCTGTGGTGGCATGAAATCATGCTGTGGTGGCATGAAATCATGCTGTGGTGGCCTGAAATCATACTGTGGTGGCATGAAATCATACTGTGGTGGCATGAAATCATACTGTGGTGGCATGAAATCATACTGTGGTGGCATGAAATCATGCTGTGGTGGCATGAAATCATGCTGTGGTGGCATGAAATCATGCTGTGGTGGCATGAAATCATGCTGTGGTGGCATGAAATCATGCTGTGGCGGCATGAAATCCTGCTGTGGCGGCATGAAATCATGCTGTGGAGGCATTCCGTTCTTGTCTGTTCTAGACTTACTAGAGGGAGCCCTGTCATATTATCATATTTTTCCCATGTTGGTGTCAACACCTAAGAGGGTGACACCCGGTGCCCCGACACCTCGAAGAGACACCTCGAAGAGACATCTCGAAGAGACACCTCCAAGAGACACCTACAAGAGACACCTCCAAGAGACACCTCCGAGAGACACCTCCAAGAGACACCTCCAAGAGACACCTCCAAGAGACACCTCCAAGAGACACCTACAAGAGACACCTCCAAGAGACACCTCCAAGAGACACCTCCAAGAGACACTTACAAGAAACACCAAGGGATGCTGTGATATCCATGATATCCTACCCAAAAAAAAAAATCATTTTGATTTAACACGTGAGAGGTGTCGTGCTAAACATCAACAAAATAATTGAGGTGGTGGGGTCCGAGCACTTTGTCAAGGAAACGTATCATCGCGTGCGTCTTTATAGGAGATCGAAACAAAGTTAAACAGTTAACCTAAATGCCAATGTCTGGGAGTGATAGAGTCAGTGGGGGAGCCCCCCCCCCCCCCCCCCCCCCGCTTCTGGCACTGAAGTTGAACGGATTAATTTTGCTTTGCCTCATTAAATCCCTTTAGCCATTCGCAGGAAATGATTGCAAGTTAAGCAAAGAATTAGCATTTCTAATACCGCAACTGAGAATTCTCTAGGTATAAATGAATTGTCTCATTGTCGCAAAAATAAAAAAAAAAAAGACAGACTGCGCTGGGCAGGACATATTGAAAAGGTGCCGGAATGTAGAGCAGAATATGTGATATACAGGCAGAAACCTAGGGGTAGACGACTCACTGGTCACCCAAGGCTGAGATATATCGACGATGTGGAGAGGGATTTACACCAGTTGGGAGCTCACACATGAAGGCGGAAGGTGACGGATTAATTGTGCCATTGATTTCATCCAATGTCTTTCCAAAAATTACTGATAATGCACGAATCTTTAAAACAATAAATGGCGAATTATTTGAGCCAGTTTCCTCCGTAAGGTACCTCGGTGTTACCATTCAAAGAGAGGTCCGTTGGGACGAGCATATTAACAATGTGTGCAACCAGGCAAACCAAGACCATAAGGTTCCTAAGGCAACATTTGAAGATCGGCAACTCCAGCGTGAAAGAAAGAGCCTAAAGTGCCTTTGTCCGGCCGCTTTATGACTGCGCATCTTTCGTCTGGGACTCATTTACCCAGAAGAGCATCGACAGGTTGGTGGCGGTCCAGCGACGGGCAGCACGCTTTGTCCTGAACCGCTACAGGAACAGCTCTAGTGTGGGCAGCATGCTGGAGACACTGGAGGAAAGGAGACGATTGTCCGGGTCCTCCATGATGTACAAAATAAAAAATGGGCTGGTCCACTGTTCCAATATTAAACAGAAACTCTTCCCTCCCCCCCCCCATAGACAGCGACCAGGCCATGAAGGCAGTTCATGCTGTCATAACAGCATGAACACAGTACAGGAACTGCCCATTCCTGCCAAAGACAATCAGGGAATGGAACAAGCTTCCAAAAGAAACAGTGGAGGCGACAACACTTGACACCTTTGGGTCTATTGCCTCGGGCCTTCAAAACCCTAATACCCTCGCCGAGTAGCAATTACAACCTGTGAATTATCGTTTTCAATACCAGACACAGAAACTTTGCAAATCCCTCTACACACTCACACGAGCCAGAATGATCAATACATCGTTCGAAGACGAAGAAAAGAAACCCTTTTTAACATTATGTTAGTATTTTTAGAAGTGGGGTAGCTGGGGGGAGGGCAGGACTGAGTTCAAGTGTTTTTACTAGCATTTTATACTGGATGTGTAAAGGGGGGGGGGGGGGGGCAAATTTTTGGAATTCTCCCCAGGCAGCATATCTTCAAGCTACGCCACTGCTTTTAACATTTTTGGAAATACGATTTAAAAAAAAAAAAAAATTTAAATATCATTTTAAGACTTAAAAAAATGTCAGTTGTTGGGTTTCTAAAATATGATTTTTTTTTGCCAATGTGTTATATATTGGTGAATATTTCACATAATGGTGAAATAGTAAAAATACATAAATGTTAAAACATTGTATTTCAGTTCTGATAGCTGAAATGAACGTATATATATTTAAATGAATATATGTCTGTATGTATGTATGTACCGTATGCAATTCTACACCGAACACGCGATTGTGATAAAGCTTTGGTGAGCTTTTGTCCACAGCCCCCGCATTTGTCTGAGTCATTACAACCCTTTTAGCATATTCCGTTTTGGGCCGTTGGCCCTAAATTCGTTTTTTTTTTAAAAGATGAGCTTTGTAAAAAAATAATTTCTGCATGAGCTCCTCTACCATTGATCAGAATGCGTTAACACTTCGTTGAGATGTTGTGCTCACGCCCGTAAAGGTTTTTGCATTCTTACAATCGTTTTAAAATATTCCGTTTTGAGTCAGGGGCCCACAATTCATTTTTTCTGATATGAGCTATATAAATATAATTGCAAGCAGTATGCGTTCCTATTTTATTCATTTGATTATGATAAAACTTGGGGGGTGATTTGTTGTCCATAAGTTCGCGCATTTTTCTAAGATTTTACAAACCCTTTAAAATTATCCGTCTTGGGCCGTTGGAGCTAAATTCGTTTCGTTCCTTATATGAGCTTTGTGAAACATAATTTCCGTATGCGCTCCTATATCATTTATCGGAATGCGGATAAAACATCAAAGAGATGTTGCGCGCACGCCCAAAAAGATTTTTGAAATATTACAACTGTTAAATAATATTCCGTTTTGATTCTTTTATGAGCTATATCAATATGATTTCAAACAGAGCTAATGCACGGGGGGATGGAATTTTATTGAAATAGAAATAGTGACATTAAATTTTGTGTGTGACCTTCTTAGTAGGTTCCTGAAGTAACACAACCATGCTACAATATTTCGTTTGTGGCCGGGGGCCCTAAATTCGTTTGCCCCCTAATATTAGGTATATAAATATGATTTCCGTATGCGTTCCTATACCATCCATTCGATTGCGATAAAACTTTGGTGAATTGATATGCGCCCGCCCGCAAAGGTCTCTAAATTAGTGCAACCATTTATAACATTCCGTTTCTGGCCGGTGGCCCTTAATTCGTTTTTTCTTTATGAGCTATGTGAATATAATTTTAAAAAGAACTATTGCACTGGAGGATGGAATTTTCATGAAATAGAAATGGCGACATTTCAATGTGTGTGTGACATAATAAGTAGGTTTCTGAATTATTACAACCATTTTACAATATTCCGTTTGGTGTTGGGGGCCCCGAATTTTATAAACTGTTATTATATGAGCTATAAAAATATAATTTTAAACGGAGCTAACGCATGAGTAGATGGAATTAAATCAAATGCAAACAGCGATATTTCCGTTCCTTAGAGTGACACAACTTATTAGGTTTCTGGATTTGTACAACCATTTTTCAATATTTAGTTATGGACCGGGGGGTGGGTAAGGGGGGGGGGGCCCGCCTAAATTAGTTTGGTGGTTAGTGAATTCCCCGTTCGCCTTTGTTTATTCA